ATGTTAAAAAACCACCTGCTGTCACATTCTAAGGTGTAACCTGTCCCAATACTTGGCATAATGGCGACTTCTGATACGTGAACTTAGCCTGCTGCCTGCTGTATTCATTCATTCTAATCCAGACCCGGATATAAGGCTTGCCCTGCCATTTTGATACTCATTTTTACTGGTTTTTGCTATTTTACACTAAAATGACTGGTAGTCATCCATGTACAGTATCCCCTCCGTATCCATAGGTTCTGCATCCCTGAATTCAATCATCCACTGATCAAAAGTATTTGGAAAAAAATCTAGAATTTTCTAAAAACAAATCTTGAATTTGCCACGCGGTGATGACTATTTACATAGCGCTTACATTGTGTTAGGTATCGTAAGTAATTTAGAGATGATTTAAAGTATATGAGAGGATGTTCATAGTTTATATACAAATACTATGCCATTTTGTATAAGGGACTTGAGCATCTATGGATTTTGGTATCCACAGGGGGTCCTGACCAATCCCCCGTGGATACCAAGGACAGCTGTACTAGTGTCTCTGTCTCTATGCTTTTGCTGTGTAACTGAGAGCAGAAAGAAGTTGGGGTTAGCAGAGGGGAGGAGTGAATTGGCATCTTCCTTTCCCAGGGTCCATTGTGATTTTTTTCCCCCAACTTTGTTGAGGAATATTTGGCAAATCAAACTGAATGTATTTAGAGTGCACAACGAGATGCTTTAATATAGATATACGTTGTGTAATGACTGCTAAGATCAAGATCTCTCTCTCTCTCTCTTTTTTGGTGAGAATGCTTAAGATCTACTCTCAGAAAGTTTTGAATATATAATATTGTACTATTAACTATGGTCACCATGCCGTACAATAGATCCTCAGAACTTATAACTGAAGGTTTGTGCCCTCTGACCTACATCTCACTTCCCCCCTCCTTGCAGCCCCTAACCGCCACCATTCTATTCTGTTTCTATGAGATCATTTTTGTTTGTTTTAGATTCTGCATATAAATGATACAGTATTTATATTTCTTTATCTGGCTTATTTTGCCAACAGAATGCCCTCCAGGTTCATCTGTGTTGGCACAAATGGCAGGATTTCATTTTTTATGGCTGAATAATATTCCATTGTGTGGACTACTATACTACATTTTCCTTTTTTAAAAAATTATTTTATTGAAGGATAGTTGATTTACAATGTTGTTTTAATTTCTACCGTACAGCAAAGTGATTCAGTTATACACACACACACACACACACACACATACTGTATTTCTTTTTGATACTCTTTTCCCTTATGGTTTATCACAGGATATTGAATGTAGTTCCCTGTGCTATGCAGTAGGACCTTATTTATTCATTCTATATATAACAGTTTTCATATACTACTCCTAAACTCCCAATCCATCTCTCCCCACCCCTGCCTCCCCCTTGGCAGCCACAAGTTTGTTCTCTATGTCTGTGAGACTGTTTCTGTTTCATAGATAAGTTCATTTGTGTCATATGCTAGATTCCGGTTGTAAGTGATATCATAGGGTACTTGTCTTTCTGACTTACTTCACTTAGTATGATAATCTCTAGGCCATCCATGTTGCTGCAGATGGCATTAGGAATACTACATTTTCTTTATGTGATGGTTTCTTAATACCTATATAGAGAGGGGCAGGTGAGAGGCTGGAATTGGTGGAATTATTCAGTGGGAGCTTTCAGAGACTCTGGAAAAAGAGGTAATAGTTTGTTGAGCTCATTGCTGAGGAGGAAGCCACAAAGGAAGCTTCATTCCCTTGAAGACCCTCATTTATCCCTGCACAGAGCCTGGCACAGTTTCTGGTGCCTTCTCATCCTCCAAGGAATGAGCGATTTGAAAACAGCAGCCTGGTGGATAGGCTTCAACATCCTCTTTATAAGTATGGAGAAAATGAAGTTCCTCCTCGCCCTCCCCCCCACCTGCCCAGAAGCTTTATGAGCAGTGGATATGGCAGGAAGGAGCCCCAGCAGAAGAACAGGACTGATGACTTGCGGTGACAGCAGCTCCTAGACTGGTTGGGGGATCCTTAGACATGTCACTGTGGAAAGTCCCAGAAATAAGTGGGCACTGAGGTACTGACACAATGTAGGTAGAGGTTGTCTAGTCATAGATATTTAGATTATAGCTATTTAAAGAAAGTATCCTAAGATTTAAAGAGGAACCTAAAAAAGGTATTACCATATGGTCACCACTTATTGTTTTGAATCAAGGATATTTTGGTACTATATCATGAGAACAAGATATAGGAAAAAAACAAGATGTTCACAGATACTCCATTTTGTGTGAAAGTATTTATCAGAACAGCCTTGTTCTCATTGATTGGATTTACAATTAAATGCTGTACACTTGGACTCGGAATTAAATCTATATGTGAAAATTGTTTACCAAATGAATAAAAATAAATGATGATTTATATATTTTTTAAGTACTTATAACATTTCACTTGATCAATAAGTTCCAGTGATTTTTTGTTTGTTTGTTTGAAAAATACACAAAAATGGTAGACAGCAGAACCAGCCTAGGCAGACAATTGCGTTGACCTCTTTTTCTCATCTAATGGTGGTCGTTTTGGCTGTGGCCCTTTAACAGATGCTAATTCTGTAGAACGGTATTGCTAATTAACCAGAGCAGAAAAACAAACAACAGCAAATCCGACCTAATATAATGACTGTCACCATCCGAAATAAGGTGGTAAATAATGCATATAGACAGGAAAGGGAAAAAAAGGGGAAAAGCTTCAAATAATCGATTGAAAACATAACTAAAGGTCAGCAGTTCTCCCTTCTTTCTTGCTCTCTTTCTGAAAACAAAGATTAGATTGATCCAAGCAGATATGCCTTGAAATGCCATAAATGACACCTCATCTGGTGCAGTATTGACAAACTGCCTGAGGGTATCACTGGCATTTTCGTTTTACTAGCCCAGCAGGAAGAGTCAGGGAGTGGATTTGTACCTCCCTGCCCGCCTGCCTGTGAATTGCTTAAACACCTTCTGTGTGTGTGTGAGGGGTTCCACACCATTACATGCTGGGTTAAAAAGGTTCCTTCTCTGGGGCTCCAGTGAATTCCCTCGTCAGATGGATGGGAGGGGCAGTTTGTGACCAGCTGAACTTCATTATTTAGTTTACTTGCAGCAGGAGAGCAACCACCTAGAAATGCTTTATGCCCACACACCCATTTTCTTGGTGGGGGATTTATAGACCTGCTTGGCAAAATCGTATCGAGGTGGAGCAGTGACATCACTCTGTCTTCAAACAGCCACCCCGCTGCCGCTGATCAGCATTCCTGGGATGGCGGTGATTGAAATTTAGCACTTCAAGCGACTTAATTGGCACACGGATCTGTTAAGCATATGCCCCCACCGCAGGCCTGCCATCTGACGTGCCCATGCGGTGCCCAGAGCCTCACACGTGCTTACGTTTTGCTAAAGAAGTAAGTTTTGAACAGATCCTTGAAGGAGGCCTGTGCAGCGGTTAAGGAGATGGGTGGCCTTAGAGCACAGGTCCTCAGATTTCTGCCTGTCTCGAGGTGACCGTGGTCCTTCGTTCCCTTGAACTTGGAGCAAACCTAAGGTCATGGAGTTCCAGTTTGCTTGCTGTGAAAGAAGGGATCAGAATCTGCTCTTCAGTAAAGCAAGCCCTGTGCTAGCAGGGTAGAACTTGGAAGGATTCAGCACTTCTTGGCATCTTGCTGCCTTGGAATTCGAGGTTAGACTGTTCTGTGCTCACTGTGGCTAGAACTGAGCCCTTGGCCTTCAGAGAAAATCCAGGAAGTTGATGTCACCATTTTTCTACTGAGTTGGAAACAGCAGGACTGGGCCAAATGTTCTAGGTTATGAGTATGAGGAGAGAAATAGGAACCTCAGCAGAAAACAAAGCAGAGCTATTAGGTTCTTTTCATTATGTGAGGAGAGCAAATAAGGGCGGAGACCATCCATGGTTAGAAACACACTGCTCTGTTGTATTTTCCCAAGCGTCATGGCACTCTTGTGCTTCAGTTAACGCGGCGGAGCCAGGTCATGAGTTTCAGTGGATCCCAGACCACCAGGCCTCATCTGTAGGTATGTTCCCTTTGGGCATCAGGCAAAATCCTGGGCTCCTAGTAAATGGTTCATAGGAGTTGAATTCTAGAAGAATGAGCTAAATAGTTTAGCTTCCTCTGAGTGAGGTTGAAAAGAGCAACAGGTTAAACTCAGGGAAGATTTGCCGAGAAGTGAATGAAGCTTAGGTTTCCAAGTCCCTTAATTGCATAGCCCCCTTCCCAGGGTGTGGAGATTGGAACTCATACTTTTATATCTTGTTTCTTATGAAGGGCTCCCTAAATGCTGTAAGCTTTAGGACCCCGTAAGACAGAGATCTGTGCCTGTTAAAATGCTGTTGCTTTAGTCCTTGTTGCTTCAGTCCAGTGGCTTTCCCAGAAATTGGGAGAGCAGAAGAAATAAAGCCAAACCCACAGAGGAGAAGAAAGAGAAAGAGCTAGCATTGAAGAACCCCATGCTAGTTGAAGCGTAATTTGCATTTATGACCTAATTTAAGCCCTCACAGCCACCCTTTTTGAGAGAAAGCATGTTGCGGCTCAGAGAGGCTGTTACCTGCCCCGTCTGGTACAGCAAGGAGGGCTGGGACCTGTGTCATTGACCTTCCTCTCTCCCAGCCACCTGCTCAGTGGCTGCCTTGCAGGACACATATCTGACAGCTCTGCTAGCTTTCCTGAAAGTGTTAAGCCCACCAGGATAAGAAATGCCTGGATGGGCAGGTAAGTCTTGCTGCCGGCTGAGAGGGAGAAGGTTAGGGAGGGCATCAGGCTTGAGCCGTTTAAGGGAAGGCACAGGCAAACCCTTCGCCAATCTGTGTAAGGGGATGCTGCAACAACTCATTCAATTACGTGAAGTGTCCCTTAAAGGAATTCTAAGCCCTCCCTTGGGCCATTTCAGTTCTATGAGATTGTCATTGTTTGAAACTAACCAGGATTTCTTCTTTTGCCTTCAGGTGATTCTCATTTTGACAAAGCTCTATGACTATAACCTGGGGAGCATCACGGAGAGCTCGCTTTGGAGGTAGGGAAGCTGAGCTGATAATTACTGTGTTATTTAAACATGATGTCCTCGGCTGGCTGCTCACCCCCACCCCAGTTTCCTGGTGGGAAGGTTTCTGGTTCCTTGTACTCTTTCTTCCTCTGTTTGCTCTTCGTTTCCCTCAGCCGTGGGTGGGGGTTTATTTCCAGGAAGGCTGGACCCTTCCTTTAGACCTCTTCTTTTGGTCACAGATCCTTTTGCTAAACTGCTTATTAGGTTGTCTTTATGCGTTTTGGTTCCCATAGTTCTCACTGATCTGCGAGCTTACTGGGGAAGAAACTAAAGAATGAGGATATCTTTGCAGAGGGGATCAATGTAACCTCTAGGTCTACAGAACCCAGGCAGGCTACCAGGGCAACATTCTTTCACAGCTTCCCTTCCGTGGTTCTGCAGCACAAAGGGGCACACACACACACGCTTGCCTCTATTTCTGGGATTCACACTACTGCATCACACATATAGAGTGGGCAATTAGTACTTTTTCAAATGAATGAACAAATTCTTCAAGGGCAGACTAACTTATTGGATTTAGCACAAAAGAAGGTCCTCAAATGCCCAGGCAGTTATTCTCTCCTCCTTTTTTCCTTGGAAACGATACATTCTGTTGTTTCGTTTTGTTTCTTAAAAAAATATTGATTTATCTCACTCCTGATTGGCTCTTCTCCACCAGCCTGTGTCATGGGCCCATGCCCGAACCAATCCCTGAAGTCCAGGAGAGCACGTCCTCTAATTGGTCAGGCCTGGATCACATGATGATCCCTGACCTGGGAGAGGGTGGAGACAAACTCTGGAGATGATATTCAAACACGCACAGACTGACTAAGTGAGAGTCGTTATACAGAAAGGTGGGAGTGGTCTGTGGGCAGACCAAAGCTAGTGAGTGTCGACCACATAAGATCAGTCGGGGGGTTCCATTACCTGTCAGTTCACAGGACCGGGAGAGGCTGCCTCTTGGCTTTCAGTGTCAGTGCTGAGGTCTAGGGAGAAAGACTGCAGTCACCCTGTTTGTGTCAGGTGCAGTCAATAGTGGCTTGGGAGGGAAAGTTGATTTACATGGAAGCAATTTGGTTTCAGGGCCTGCTTCTTATTGGGGATTGCAGTGGTCATACAAGAGGAGGCTCATGGATTGGATAGACACCCCAGAGGAATCTACCAGGCCTCACAAGAAGATTGTTCATTAAATTTCATTTTCACCTGATGTCTATTTTCTATTAGGCTTAACATTGTGTACAAGAAGCCCCAAATAAATTGTCCTGTGCCTTAGGAGAACCCTAGTAGACCAAAGAAAAGGCTAGATTCTGTTCTTTTGTTTGTTGTCAGGCATTTCAATTATTGAGCTTTTTCCCCAAGTAGGAGGTCAATTATGCAGAGTTTCTGTCCCAAGGAAATTTATGTAACTGATTTCAAGTGTGGGAAGTTTGGTAGGAGCCTCAAAAAGTACAGTTCTTTAATACATTAAGGGCCTGACTCCTGCTGTATTGTTTAAATTCAGTACCTATTCATCAGCATCTCTGAGTAAGCTTATGCTTCCTTGGAAAGTTTCTCTAATGTATGTGCATAAATGAAAGTAAAAGCCAGCTTTTACTGTGTAGTGCATCTGCCATGTAAAGTGTCATTGGCATATTAGAAAATTAAGAGATGTGCAGTTCTGTCTCAGTGGGACAGAGGCAGAGCAGCCGTAACTCCCAGCCTGAGTAGTCCTGGGAAGCGCATATTGGAGGGATGTGAGGCACAGCTTGTCCTGGATTGCTGGAGCTCACGCTCAGCGTGCTTCTTTCTCTCTGATGGGGCACTATTACTGATGCCTCAGTCCAGGAAGAATATTCTTTTCTTATCTTAAGGGAGGGGCTTAGTGAAATAAAAACAGCATCACGTTCCAATAGTACCAGACCTCTCTTCTGAGGGAGCAAACTCCGTGGGCTTAAGCCTGGGAAAGCATGGCAAGAATGACCTGCTGACTTTTCCATCTTAGAATCAATTTCACTGGAAGATATATACATACGTATACATATACACACATGCGCATATATACACATAATATACACATATGTACAAGTAATATGTGTGTGTATATACCCATTTCTATTTGCTTTTCTAACATACCCACAATAGTCACTTGCCATATGTGTGATGTTCTACATGTCATATGTGGCAAATGATTCCTGCAGGTGTTCTATGTTATTGCAACTGCTCGTTTTAATACTTTGATGGAAGAGTACATGCCTGAAAAGACAATTTAGAAAAGAGGAAAGGAGAAAAGGGAATATTTAGAACACTTCACAATTGCTTTTCAGGGCTGCATTTTTTGAGTGGCTCATGGTGCCCATATTTGGTCTTTAGGGGACATTTTGGGGGTGTTAATGTAGAGGTGGAGAGGGACAGGCCTGGGTGGGTCAAGGATGGGACCAGGAAGAGAGGTCCTCATGATTCCACGTCATCTGGAAGGAGACTAGACTGCTAAGTGTTGACTCATTTTCTCCTGTACCAGCTTGTACAATCTTCTCAGAAAACCTGCCTATGCCAGCCATCGGGGGCTTCTTAGGGGCACAGGCCAGGTTTTAGAGATACTCAGGGCACTCACAGCACTGAATGCAGGACTTAGCACATAGATAGTGCTCAGTAAGTATCTGGTTTTGCATAGACCAGTGAATACTACAATTTTGTCTCTACTTCATGGTCACTAACATATAACTCTCTTTCTCACTCATTTATTCAACAAACATGAATTGATTAACTGCTCTAGGTCTTATATTGTTCTTATCTAGGGAAGGAAAGTTGGGTGAGTACATAGATCCGTAGCATGTAGGTTCTGCCTTCTAGGACTTCATCGTTTAGAGAGACAAAGATCTTTGGACAGTTAAAGTGAGAGAGAACTGTACTTGCCTGTAACCTGCCTCATGTAATTGTATTGAAGGAGATACTTACGCAGCACCCAGAGCTGCCAGATCCCAGGAGTGTTGCTTCTTTACTTTGCTCATGTGTATATTTTCTCTTCTCAAGTAGACTTTACGTCCTTAAACCCAACACCTTGCTGGTTTCATGGTAACGGCAGCGATGCTGTTGCTCATGAAAATAATGACGACAATAACAAAAATTAACTTTGATGGAGCACTCATGATGTGTCAGGCACGATGCTCAGTGCTTGACTTGCGTTATTGCATCCTCCCAAAACATTTCTACAGTGTGCCGAGGTCACACGATTTGTCAATAATAGTCCACACACTTACAGGCATGTTAGTTATGAACTTCAGTCATTTCACTGCTTATTGATCATCCAGAATCCCATCTGTCTTCTGGGGGATCTTGCTGTACATAAGTAAACAACATTTTAATCATATATATATGTATACATGTATGTATATATATATAATATGATTGTTATATACATATATGTATATTAAAAATAGGGTTTTCAAAGTGTGTGACATTTCGAGCAGCATTTACCCTATTCCAGAAAAATACTGGGCCACAGGGAAATGGCTTCTTGCCCAACAAATAGATACACGCGCTTTTGGATTGAGCGCATATTCTTTACAACTTTGACCAGCTGAATAGTCCAAAGGGGGCAAGTGGCAAACGTCTCTGGGGTCTTAGAATAGGAGAGAGGCCAAGAAGCAGCTGACCTTGCAGTGATGTTCTAGGGCTTTCAACCTCACGGAATCCACAAACCCTGGCTGACAGAGCGAGATGCCGCTGTACCAAATGAATGAGCTTTGGTTCCCAGTTGGTCTTGCCATTGATTACACCTTAATCCTGGAGCAAGTTGTTGATTTTGTTTTTGTTTTGTGTTGTCGTTCACTCAGGGAGTCAAACTGAGAGGAAAGGGGGATGATCTGACACAGGACAATTAACTACACCTCAGTATCTTCTCTACTTTCCAGTGGATTAAGCTGTGAGATTTGGGAGAGCTGGCGATTTTACCATGCTGAAGCAAGATAAGCTTAAAGGTTGAGATAAATAAAATGTCAAAATCTAGATACAGTATCTCTGAGAAGAAATTATCATCTTTTTTCCCTCTGTGCCAGGGTAATCAGCATTCTGCTGAGAGAGGCTTAGCTGGTGAGGAAGCCCTAGGCAATTCTGGAAGGACTAAAGGTGTACGCTCTTAAAGGGATACACAACCTGCAGTGTGTCTGTTGTAGAGCTTGCCTGGCCTGGCTGACTTCTCGAACTCCCTAGTGTCCTATTTTCTGATCCACATGAAACACAGGTTTCCGAACACATCTCCACAGTTATGTACTTCTCAAGCTGCAATACCTGCTTTTGTGGGATGAAGGAGCATATAGTTAAGGCGGAGAGAATGGGTTAGGCCATTTGATTCTGCACTGGGAGCCAGCCCTGTTTCCTTGTCACGGGAGTCACTTTGCTTCTCCTTGGATGTTACACACTGCGATTATCAAGAGATGTTTCCCAGTAGAGTCTTTGTGGAGAGAATGGCTGTAGAGTGCCTTGAAGCAGCATCTCTGTGGGGTTGGCTTCAGCCAGTACTTTCTGGAGAGCTCAAGGGATTCAGGCTGACAGAAGCTGACCTGAAGATGGTGATCTCTGCCAACCCTGTGGGCGATTCCCATTAGCCGGAAGCTTCTCTCCCTTTCTACTCCTCATCCAGGGGAAAAGCATAGAGCGTCTTGGATAGATCATTAGTCTCAGCTTTGAAGGACGTTGTGCTACACAATCCAGCTTTCAGTCAGCCACAAATACAAGAATAGAGAATGGGGGTAGTCATCGTAAAAAAGAAAAAGAATAAAGCTAGAGTGTGAAATTTCCCTGCAGAAGGGCTCTTTGTGTTACACCAATCCAGTGATGCTATTCATTCATCCCTGTGTTTGCAAATGTTTAGTGCCTTCCCCGTCTCCCCCAGGAGAGAGCCAAGCTCCCCAGCAGGATCAGGGGGTGCTTAGGATTCTGGATTCCTTTGAGCTTTGTAACTCCCACTCCCATCCCCATATTTGTGTCATGCAGAGCTGCTTGGGGGTCCTGGA